CAAAAAAAAAAAAAAAAAAAAAAAAAACCTATGGAACTATCCCAATCATAGGATGAATTATTATGTGCGGACACCGGGCGTGAGAAATGTCTGATGTTCTCTCTGTTTACAGTAAAAGCGCAGCTCACCGCGCTTTTATTGTAGTAGCAGCGTTTTTACTGTAAACAGAGAGAAAACCAAACGGTTCTCTCTGCCCGGTGTTCGCATAGAATAATTTATCCAATAAGAGTCCACTATTATATTGTCAGCTGCTATATTTCAATGTATTTAAGAGATATTATTTACAAAATATTTTAGTACATTAATTTAAATATAATAAATTATTTTATGTATTAAAAACATATATTACAATTATTATATTTTTTAATATACATTTTAAAAATATCACATTGGCTAAGTTTTTAAGATTATATCTAATCGAACTGCATGTGATGATATGCCATCCATAATTCTCTCCATTCAAATTCTAAATCGCACATCAAAATTTGTTAGATGAACAATGAGATTTTTCACCTACGCAAAATTTTATATTTCGGAATTTGCTGAAAAAATGTACAGAATTGGAGAAAGATGATTAATTTCTGAATGAGATGAATAAGCGCATGGATTGAAAATAAATTACTAAATTTTTCGGTTGGAGATGCCTAACAGATCAGGCATATGCAAATATGCGGCATTTGATTTATAAAATATTATTAAAATTTGAACTTTACGTGATATATTTTACAAATTTGGCACTAAATTATGATCTTGCTGCACTCTCAGGATCTCCTTTTTGCATTTACGTCTCGGAGATTGAGAAAGAGAGAGAGAGGGCGGCAAAAGAAATCGGATAGGAAGCGACGTCGCGATGGTGCGCGGCGGCGACGGAACCTCCCCTCGCCGCTGGCCGAGGAGCAGAGGCCGCGTGTCACCGGCGGAAGATATCGAGGGAGAGAAGGCGGGGGAACTATTTCCCTGGTGGCGGCGGTCGAGCCGGCAGAAGCTCCGTCTGGTGCGGTACGATGAGCTTCCAGAGTACCTTAAGGACAACGAGTTTATCCTCAACCACTACCGCGCCGATTGGCCGATCCTCGATGCTCTTCTCAGCGCCTTTTCCTGGCATAACGAGACCGTCAATGTTTGGACGTGAGCATATTGATCGATTTTAGATCGAAACCCTAGCTTTGGTTGTCTTCTTTCTGCACGGCATGATATTGGTCATTGATCATTGTTTGGTCGCCTCTGATCGTGCTTTGCAGGCATTTGGGGGGCTTCTTCCTGTTCCTTGCACTCACTTTGGTGGGATACATGGACGTCATTGAGCAGCTCCGCAGCACCTTCAGTCCCACCATCTCCAGGTTTGTTGCTCATGTTCTTTTATTTTTCTTTCTTTCTTTGTTCACGTTTTCAAAAATAAAATTCCTAATTTTTGATCGAAACTAACTTTTGGTTTCAGGTTGATGTTTTTATCGATAAACGTTTCGATTGGAAAGAACTACACGGTGAATGCTATATCGGTCAGAGAAGTGTTCCTCTTTTTTTCGCTCTTTTTGTTTCCGCTATATCAAAATAAAAAGATACTAAAATACACTAAAATTGAATTAAGCACAAGAGTGAGAAGAAGAGAGGCTGGATCTCTTAAAGGCTTGATTTACAAGGAAGTCATGTTTTTTTTTTTTCTTAAAGAGAAGAACAAGTAGAGCCAAGCTACAAATAAATAATTCAGAAAGAGAGAGATTTTGCATAAGATTTTTACAGCCCGAGTTCTGCCAATGATCCCTTATTTGTAGACTAGTATCAATATCAACATTATGAATTTGGCTACATATATAATTATATAGAGAATATGTAGGTTGCACCTACTGTAGCTAATTGTGTAGCAACCAAGTTAAACATATAGTTGGCTAGTTGTCAGAGGAATATCAGTCAAGTTCTCAATTCAGGGTGAGTACTTTGGCGAGTTCAAGGTCAACATTAGAAAATTATCATTATAGTATAATTATATAGAGAATTTATAGGTCGAATCCATTCTAGCTAGCTTTGTGGCAATGGGTTAGATTTGTTGTTGGTTGGTATTAAGGGGAAAATCAATTGTATTTTGAATTATGGGTGAGAACACTAGGCAAGTATTTATGATAAGAGCCTCTGATCTATTGGAGAATAATTTGGCATGTTGACATTTTATTTGATGAGCAAATAACTTCGACTAATAAGTAGCTTTGTGAGTTTCTTGGGCGAGTTCAACAACTTAGTATCATGAGTCAAGTTAGAGCTAGCTCTTAGGTGATTTTTTCTAGATTCAACTTTAAAAAACTTTGGACTAGCAAGTTTTGTTTAAATAATTTTAGTCAATTCTCAATCAAAGACTTATTGAACTTAGTTGAGGTCCTCACAATGACTTCAGTGACCAAGCTTAGATGAATATTGGTGTATATCAATTCCCCAATTATCTTATTCTTTCTAGAAGTCAAGGATATGAAAATAAAAGTACTAACAAACCCAAGTTGATCTATGTAACTTGAGTTATAAGCATAGATTGATGCTGAGTTTTATGCAATAGGATACATGAAATTTCAGCACATGTATTACACGATTGCATTGATGCATATAAATTTGAGGTTAATGGTTCATTTTCGATACTTTATTGCTTGAGCTCTGATCATCATGCTCTTGACCTGCAATTGCTTTCTTTCTCATCATATTGTATATATGCATAAATTCAAGTGTGTTTTACGCTCAACTATCATCAATGAGCTAAAAAAGAAGCTCATGGAGGCTGCCAAATAAAATTATCCTCTATCTACCAAAGGTTTGTTGGTTGAGATGCCTCCTTTGAAATTTAAAGTGAAATGCCAAATAGTTAGAGAAAGTATTTCTACTTAAGGACTCAACCTCTATTGCATTTAGGAGATCAGAACATCCTCCCCAAACCATTTCATTATCAAACTTAATCACGACTTGGATATCTTCAAATATTCTTAGTGCTTTTGGTGGTATTCTCTATGATTGAAATGTTTCCTTTATCATTGTCACCTACTTTGCAAATGCTCATCTCCTTTTTATTTAAATGTCTTGGACTCGTTAACCTTTATCTCACCATTTTCTATGGTCCGCTCGTCCTAATTTTGAAAAATGTTTTTGGATACAATTTCACAAAAAAGATATTAATTGGCATGCCCTTGCATCAATGGTGAATATGATGCAACCTAGGTTCTAAAACAAGTAGGAGAACACTAGGAATGCAACATGACATTCCTTTTTAATAAAACATAAACTAACACCAACTGAATGAAACTTAATAGTAAACAAATATAAGTAAATGATTTAGAAATTTTGCAAAGAAACAAACTAAAATTTAAAATTAACTACCCTTAGAACAACCTAAAAAGTTCACTTCACATGCAAAACCCAAAATAAGGAATGTGCTCAAAGGAAAGGAAAAACAGCCAGCAGCAGGGAAAACTGGACAACAACATGGGGAAAAACAACCATCATAGAGAAAGTCAGCAGCAAGGAAAACGAGACAGCATGAGGAACACCAAGCAACCAACGAACATGGGAAGAATTGGGTCAAGCCCAATAAGGAAAAACAGTCCAAAATTAAATACTCATTTAGCCACCAAGGAGCAAGGAGACAAATTCAACTTAAGTGGAAAGCCAATGGAGATAAATTACCTAAGTGCATCAAACTCAAGAATGATCATGGGTTGTTTTTCATCATAGGGTAATACAAATAAAAAGAAACATGTAAAAGTAAAAAACATCCAAAATATAGAAAAATAAAAATAGAAAATGATAGTTCTTGATTACATCAGAATATAATGATATCCTCTCTTTGGATGATTGATTCTCTTCCTCTTTAAACTCCCCTCCCTCCTTTTTAATTTTTTATTTTTTAAATTGGTTTGTGATTTTAACTTGCTTGATTTACCTCTAATAGAATGACATTTCACCTGTTCCAATCATATCTTTCAACAAAATCTTACTAATATTGAACATTTATCATCTCGTTTGATTAAGAAACCCATTTTCTTGACTAAAACAATTTGCTTTAAGCTGACTTCTATTTGATCATTGCTCGGTGATGCTAAACTTATGATTTCATTCGTACAAAGTCGTCCATCTTTCCTTTTTAACAATATTTAATTCATTACATAACAATTACAAATAAAAGATTGTGGAGTGGTGGAGCTATTTAAGTGTTATTTAGTATAATTGCTTTGCTGGGTTGTTAAATTTAAGTTCTTTTTAAGATGATTGAACCAATGAAAAGGTTACTAATCCTATTCATTTTGATAATTAAATCTTGATCTCTAAGCTTGAATCCTTCACAGGAATGTAGAAGATACCTGTCCCTTCGTGTCCTTCCCTTTGAATTTGATAACTATGACCAAGTAATGATGAAACTTTATCTACCTAAAAAAAGAGTGAGGAGATTTTTAGGGGTAGAGAGTTAAAATTTGTTGATTTTTCAATAATGATAGAAATCCATCTAACTTATATAAAATTGTCAATAATTATTTAAAAAAACAGAACTTAATCCAAGTCAGTTTTGACAGGAATAATTCTTTCTTTCACTCCAAGGATGTTGCAAATGATTTTGCACACCATTTCATATCCATTTTCACCTATTCCAATCAGCATTTTCTTCATTAATTTGGCTTACATTACCCTATTTATGATCCTCAAAATCTCAGCTCTCTTGGCAAAATGCCTTAACATTCGGTGAAATCAAAGATGCTTTGTTCAATATGTGTGGAATGAAGTTTGGGGCCTTTGAAAATGCCTCATGTAGTTTGGGGAGAAGATGTTAGATATATCACCTCCAAAGATGAAAAACAATCATAGATCTTCTCTCTAATGTAAAAATCAATGGTAGACAAATTGCTCCCATAAATTTGAACACTCTTGATTGAAGATGTTTGTTCACGTTCTTAATTCAACAAAATGAGATTTAGACAAAAAATTTATTAAAAAATGGTAAACTCAAATAGTAGTCAAGCATATAGAGGCCTACAATAGGGTAAAACAACCAGACAAATGAGACAAGTGGGTGACATTAGAATGAAGAAATAGGAATGTGGGTCTTGTAATTCACAAAACGGGGATTACCCAACAATAAAAATAGACTACTTGGCATTAGTCCCAAAGGATAGATTGAAGGAATTGACCCATGAAAAGGAACTTGACCTATATTTTCTCAAGTAACCATTGAGAAATGCCTAAACAAGAAGAAGGGCCTAATGTTAGGTGAACATCTTCTTAGATGCTTAATCTTGATAATGGGTACCGTAAGTAATGATGACATGACTTATATACTTTGGGCAAGTAAGACCTTTTTAACTCCATCTATGGATTTTTAAGGCCATGGCATCAAGTTTCGATATATTACAAGATAAGTTGACTCATAGCGGGAAAATAGGTCCTACTATCTTGCCATACACGTAAGATGATCCTAATGAATATGAGGGGCTACAATGTATAATGAAAATGTAATATTATTCAGAGTCTATATGTTTCCATAACTCAAGATTATGTAGTATGTGTTTTGATTGACAATATAATATTGAGTATATAACTAATGCTTAGGCTACTAGGGAAAACAAAATCCTTCTAAAGGTTTTTTTTTTTAATAGAAAAATAGTCATAGAATGTTGAATTCAAAGAATGTTTTGTTAATTTTTTATTTTTTTGAAATATTTTTTGAGATTCTAATGCACAATGTCTAAAAAGAAAGTAAAACAACATTCACAAACAATCATGAGATAATGAAGTGCAATAAATATTCATATAATTTTAGAAAGCTGGAAATTGAGAATATGTGAGGTAGAGGAAGGAAATGCAAGAAATATCAAAAGATTCCTCAACCTCTTGGTCTTTTATCTTATTCTCCAAGGGTTTGACCCAACAACACATACACTAAACCTATCTTATTACATGAATTTAGTTATTGCATTAACCTCTAATTATTATAATGTTTTTCAAACGAGTAAATATTTAAGTGCCTATTGTTGAGTCCAGTAATTAGGTTGTTAAGCCTAAGTAAATGTCCCAAGGCTACCAAGAGGGGGGTGAATTGGTAGTTTTTATAATTTTAAACCCTCTTAATAATAAAGTTGAACCGAAATGAAATTTTCTTTTAAAGTTAGTAGAAAAATGTTTTTCAACCACAGAGTTGTTTAAACTGAAATTTAAAGTGCGGAAACGTAAAAGCTAAAAAGTAAATGACATCAGATTTATAGTGGTTCGGTCTATAACCAGACCTACATCCACTCCTCAGAGGCACCCTCTGAGTATTGCACTAATACCAATAGTGACTCTCCTTTTGCACCCACAGCAAGGCGGAGAAGCCCTTACAACACACTCTTTTCACCACTCCCCGGTGCGGCAGAGAACCATCCGTCCTTTGGCGCCACAGTACTCACTAGCAAAATGCTCAACTTTAGAATTTTTATATTTTTTAAGAAAAATTATTTCACATATTGAATTATTACATAGTATTAGTTGAAACAAAAAA